CCCCGCCCTTGTAGTTAGCTTCCTGCTCTTAGACAACCTAAGTGGTTTTGTATGTGGTACTTGGTGACAGCTTTTTCTGCATCATCCAGCATTTTAGAGACTATCGGTCCAGTCAGCATTCTGAGACTGTCTATAGTCTGTCCTTTGTAATTTAGGCCCACCTCACCCTCCATGTCCAAGGATGGAATGTGCTCTCACTCAACCTAGGCATACTTGTTGTTATATGATGAAGTCAAACTTCTGGGCTGGCCTTAATAATTTATTATATAGGATTAGTAGTTAATAATTTCAAAAGAGTAAATGTGTATTACATGCAAGCAACAAAATGTGATGAACAATGGTGGTGAACTTGCTAAAGTTTATAAATTATGGCAAATGACTCTTGTGTTGTGAACGACAGTGGTTTATCATTTATTACAGGTGCTACAGAATATCCTAGAAACAGAGCATGAATATTCTAAGGAGCTGCAGTCTATGCTTTCCACCTATCTGCGGCCACTGCAGACCAGCGAGAAGTAAGTTGGCTGGAGACTGCTCTGAGTGCCAGCTTGCCTTGGGCACAGCATTGTGTTCATTAGGTTACGGCCCACAGTGAGGCTTCATGCTAGGAAATCAGGATACATGTCAGACCACTGACAGACTTGTGCTTTTGTTTTTCCTGGCCTTAGGTTGAGTTCCGCAAACACTTCGTATTTACTGGGAAATTTAGAGGAAATCTCTTCCTTCCAGCAAGTGCTCGTGCAGACCTTAGAAGAGTGCACCAAGTGAGTTGACTGCCCGAGCTTCAAGTTTGTATGCGCTTAGTTGGTATCAAATGCCAGATCTTTCTGAAGATAGAAGCTAGATTATTTTTTTATTTTGGGTAAAGTTTTATAGTAAAAGCTGTGTGTTAGAGACTGGTTGGTTTTCGCTGACAGACTTTTTAGATAGGGAAAGACTTTGGAAGAGGGACAAATTAAGCTGATGATGGAGGAGGCTGCTGCATGGCTTGTCAGGAGGTAGAAGTAACCGGTAGCTGAACGGCTCATGTGCCAGGTGTTGTGAGGGGTGGCTTTTTCCAGTGTTGTCTTATAGCCCTGTAGCTCTTTGCTGGCTGATAAAGTGTGGATTGCCATGTACAGGCAACATACCATAGAAATAACAAGAAGGGCTACGTTTCATGTATGCCAGAGAAATAACAATGAAAGGTTACTTTTCATATATGCCTTTTGTTTATTGAGTTCCAGCATGGACCAGGCACTTTGTACTATAGAGGTATATTCATTAACTCTGTTACATGCCCTATTGAGGGGGTTGGGGCTTAAGATACAATTGGGACACCAAAGGTGGAGTAGTGGACTCAAATGCAAAGCCTGTATCTGTAGCAGGCTCTCTTGAACTGCCAGTCCCCAAATCATGACATGGAGACTTATTACTTACGAATGCTCAGACTTATGTGTGTCCCACTAGCTCTTATAACTTAATTTAACCTGTTTCTCCTCATCTATGTTTTGCCTCAGGGCCTTTTACCTTTCTTTCATTCTGTATGTCCTACTTTTCTGCTCCTTCTTTGTTTGACTGGCTGTAAGCTGCTTGGTGGCTGCCTGGCTGACTGACCTCAGGTATCTCCCTCTTTTTCTCCCTGGAGCCTAGGTTCCTCCTCCTACTTAATTCTCTCTGCCTGCCAGCCCCACCTACTCCACTACTGCCTAGCTATTGGCCATTCTGCTTTTTATTAGACCAATCTGATGCCCTAGGCAGGCAAGGTGAAAAGGCAATACATCTTTACATAGTTAAGCAAATGCAGCATAAACAAATGCAACACACCTTTACATAAAGTAATATTCCGCAACATAAACAAATGTAATACATCTTTGTAATATTCTACAACACAGATCCCTCTCCATATCATGAAATACTGGTTGATGCCGAGATGATTTCCCCTGCCCCCTGTGTCTCTGGGGTTGCCTGCAACTCACTGTTGCTGTTGAGTACTCGCTGATGTGTTTGACCCTAAGCTTTCCTTTAACATACTGTTTCAGTTGACAGAAACGTGGGAGCCACTTAAGAGACTATGCTGTCTTCTTGGGGTCAGTGCTTACCCCTGAAATGTGGGAGCTACTTCTGTATGCATAGACACTGGTATCTTACTCAGGCACTCTGCCCAATTTGATGGTTATCTGTGATTTGCCTGCACTTGTCTCTTCCATTTTGGAACTTTTCATCTGGTGCACTGCAGTATACCCTCCATCAGCTAAACTGCTTTCTATTCTGGGAGATTTTTAAAACCCTATTCTCTTTCTAACTTTTTCATTTTTCTTCTCATTGCTTTGTGTTGGTTTTATTTGCACTGTAGGGGATTGTTGACAGAAGTTTCTATCCGCCGGGTTCCACAGCTGTTTAGTCCCAAATAAGCACACAGAGGCTTATATTAATCATAAACTGTTGGGCGGGTGGCTCAGGCTTCTTACTGGCTAAGTCTCTCTTAATTATTAACCCATTTCTATTAATCTGTATCTCCACATGGTCTTGGCTTACCTGTGATGTGTGGCCCTCTTTCTGCCTTGGCAGCTACACGGTGTCTCCCTCACAATTGCTGTCTGCTTTCCCTTTCCAGGATTTTCCTAGTCTGGAAGCCCTGTCTAAACTTCCTGCCTGGCTACATACTCCCTGTCCATTGGCCAAAACAGCTTTATTCATCAACCAATAAGACAAACACATATTCACAGCATACAGAAGGACATCCCATCAGGGGATTGATCTCAGAGCCTTACTTAAGTTTGCCTAACACATGTTCTGCCCATGGCCTGTATGTACCCCAACCCAGTGTCACAAATGCTCATGGAAGTTGTGAGTTTCTCCCTTCGTTGATGCAGTATCTGTGTTTCTTTTCTCAGGAGAAAATTATAAGTCAAATATTTTTATGCTTATGCTTTCTGAACATAGTTTTATTCTGCCTTCCTTTTAGCCCTGTCATCTTGTTAGTTTTTTCTTTTCTCTCCCCCCTCGTCCCTTCTCCCCTCCTTAACCTCTCTCCTTTCCCTACTGTTTTAGTTAGGGTTTCCATTGCTGTAATGAAACACTGTGCCTAAGAGCATCTGGGGGGTGGGGACGGGACGGACGGATGACGACTACGACTACGACGACAGAGTTTATTTGATTTACATATCCTGAAAGACAGTCTACGAAGGGAAACTCAAGGCAGGAACTCAAACTGAGAAGGATCCTGGAGGCAGGAGCTGATGCAGAGGCCATGGAAGAGTGCTGCTTACTGGCTTGAACCTCCTGGCTTGCTCTCTTATAGAACCAGTAACACCAGCCCAGGGATGTTACCACCCACAGTGGCCCTCCCCCATGAATCATTAATTAAGAAAATGCTCTACAGGATTGCCTGCAGTGCGATCTTACGGAGGCATTTCTGTCTTTTTTTTTTAATTTAAAATTTCTTTTCCATTTTATGTATTAACCCCAGTTCCCCCTCCCTTCGCTTCTCCCATCCCCTCAACACCCCCCTACCCACCTCCATCCATTCTTCAGAGGGTGTAAGGCCTTTTTTGGGGAATGCACAAAATCTTGTATACCAAGTTGAGGCAGGACCAATTATAAACACCCCCCCCCCCCCCCCGTATCAAGGCTGAACAAGGTATCCCACCACAGGGAATGGACTCTATAGTTCATGCACCCAGGATAAGTCCTGGTCCTACTGCCAGGGCCTCTCAGCAACAGATCAAGCCATATAATGGTCATTCATATTCAGATGGCTTAGGTTGGTCCCATGCAGTTTCCCTGGCTGTCAGTCCGTAGTCCATAAGTTCCCACTATCTCTGGTTAGCTGTCTCTGATTTTCCCCATCATGATGGAGGCATTTTCTTAATTGAGGTTGTCTTCTCTCCTGTGTCTCTAGCTGGTATTAAGTTGACATAATTGGCCAGCACAGCTGCATGCACTTGAGACTATTGCACGCGCGCACACCCGCGCGCGCGCGCGCGCGCGCGCACACACACACACACACACACACACACACACACACACACACACACACACACAGAGAGAGAGAGAGAGAGAGAGAGAGAGAGAGCCAGCTTTGGCTGCACTGACAGTGGGTCAAGCAAGATTCACTGGATTTGGCGTGTTGAGGAGTTCTGGCATTAATAGCTTTGGTCCTATTTTCTCTGGGTCAGAGTCCCCAGGGAGCAGGAAGTCCTCTTTCCTATCAGTGTGCTAAGAATCTGATGGACGTGGGCTACTGGGAGTGTCCTCTCAGGCTCCCTGTTTGCAGCATCATGTCCTGTCCTAGGCCTACAGTCTGGGAAGATAGGCAAAGCCCCTCAAGCTCCCAGTGACCCCTGCATGTTGCTCACTGGTGCCCTGTTTGGCTGATGCCAAGTCTCAACATCTACTCCCCATCTCCACAGTGGGTTCCAGTGGCTGTTTCTTTGTTCGTGATTAAAGATTTAATCTTTAATTAAACTCTAGAATCCTATGATCCATTGTTGTTGCCTAGAGGTAGGAAGAAGTAACTTATATTTAACCCTGTCACCTGCAATGAGGTTGTCTTTAGTAATTGTTCTTGTGCCACCTTCAATCCTACATGGGTAAAAACTTAGTTAGGAAGCCATGTTTGGTACTTTGAAGTTCGGCGGCTATGTTTGGTAAGTTCTAACTTTGTGTACAGTATATAAGACTTCAGGACATGTATTTTCTTCACCTCACAGAGCACATAAAGTTGGCTAGGTTGGTCAGTCATGTGGTATGTCAGACCTGGCTGTGAAAAGTTAGCCCCCAGCCTGTAGGAGTAGGCAGGAGCAGAAGGGTATGGGGGCTAAGCTGAGGAAAAGAGCTTGGTGCCTCTGCCCCTTGCTGGTTTCTTCCTGTCTTTATGGTGTCTTTCTCTGTCACACCTACAGGTCTCCTGAGGCCCAACAGAGAGTTGGCGGCTGCTTTCTGAGCCTGATGCCACAGATGAGGACCCTGTATCTGGCTTACTGTGCCAACCACCCATCCGCTGTGGGCGTCCTCACAGAACACAGGTTTGTTGGCTGCGACATCTGGGCTTTAAGGGAGGTGGACAGCTCTGCACCTCTAGATACCGCATGGAACAGCGTTCACACTAAACAAGGACACATTGATTTTGCCCTCAAATTGAGTGTTTGAATGTGTGTTAAGAAAGCCAAAAGGCTGGCCAGTGTTTATGAAAGAAAAAGGTCCTGGGGCTGTGCCTTAGTCAGGGTTTCTATCTCTGGGAAGAGACACCATGACCACTGCAACTCTTAGAAACAAAACATTTACTTGGGCCTGGCTTACAGTTCAGGGGTTCAGTCCAGTATCGGCATGGCAGGAAGTATGGCAGCACGCAGGCAGACATGTCTGGAGAAGGAGCTGAGGGGGTCTTTCATCTTGACTCTCAGGCATCAGGAAGACTGCTGTGATACTGGGCCTGGCTTTAGCTTCTGAAACCTCATAG